TCCTTCCTTCCTTCCTTCCTTCCTTCCTTCCTTCCTTCCTCCTTTCCTCCCTTCCTTCCTTCCTTGGCACATTGAACCTTGAACCTCTGAGCCATATTCCTAGCTCTTTTGATTTTTTATTTTGAGACAGGTTCTGTCCAAATTGATTAGGGCCTCACTAAGATGATGAGGCTGGCTTTTAAAAACAAAAACAAAACAAAACAAAACAAAAAAACACCTTTTAGTTGTTAATGAGCGTTTATTTATTTATTTATTTTTACTTATTTATGTGTGGTGCTGAGGATCAAACCCAGGCCCTCACACGTGTGAGACAAGAACTCTCCCACTGAGCCCCAGCCCCAGCCCCCTAGGGTGGCTTTCACTTGGGATCCTCCTGCTGGGATGCTTCACAATATACTTCCGAAACAAAACAAAACTTTGGTTTTCACTGAAGAAAAAGGTAAGGCAAGGTGCTAAGTAGAAAGGTTGCAGACTGAAACTACAATCTTGAAAAATAATATCATAAATTTAGTTTCAAGGAAAAATACATAAATGAAGTGAGGAAAATAAAGTACCCCAGACCAAGAACTAAGGCTGTTAAGTAGTTTCAAGGAAAGATACATAAATCAAGTGAGGAAAATAGAGTACTCCAGACCAAGAAGTAAGGCTGTTAAGTAACCAGAATTTAGGGAAAGAATAGAAATGTGAGTTCTCATCTGATATTTGAAGATAAAGATATGTATGTCTGTGAGTATTGCATATGCCTGCATGTGTATGTGTATGTGCATATATTTTTTTATATTCTTCTATACGTGGAGAGGTTAGAGATTATAAAAGTCTCTAATTAGGAAAAATCCTTTTTTAGTGAAAGAGAAGGGTGCGAGAATTGCACGTAAAAGATTGGCTGCTTCTTAATGTAGTGGCCTTTCTCTCACTGAAGTTCAGTGATTCACTCCCAGTAAAGGATGTTGGGGTAAGGTCCTTCTTTGGTTATAGAGTCCTATGTATCTTTGTGTCTTTATCAGGGACTATAATAGACTCTACTTACCCACCTTATCATTTCAATGCATACACACTCACATGCCCAAATTAGCACCTAGGTTTTCTTGCCTCAGAGTTTCCTCTAGTCTTTAGATCCCGTTTTGCCCTAGGAAGAGGGAAGTG